GGAATGCAGCATGGTTGCCTATTTTTGTTCTTGTACACTAGAAAATCAATAGTATTTCATTTTCCTTGGAGTTGCATGATGAGAGGTCAGCAAATTGTAATGGCTGAAGATGAACACTTGAAATGGCCTTGCTAAGGTTATATTTGTTGTAAGCACTGATTCTTAGAAAGTTCATCAGCTTGTTCTATAGTAAAATACCACGTATATGCTAGTGATGCCACTACTTTTTCACTGCTGTTTACACTTACTAGCTATATTTAGCTGTGTGAATTCATTTTTTTAACTTCATCTTTTCATCAGCGCTGTACACTTAATATGAATTGACATGAAATTATACCTAGGATGTAGCATAATCGGTGAAGTTGGCTGTTTGCATTATGTGCTGCAATTCCACAGCTGTAAAGTACAAACCTGTAGGTGATGAGGTGTCCTCTTGCTTTTTAGACTGAGTGCTGAAGGCCAGGTAGAGTTCTGAACTGAAGCGAGGATATGTATGTCAGAAGCATTTGATGTTGACTTCTAAATGCTTTGGTTTTGTGATCTCTATAAGAAACACTCATATAGGAGCTATATAGGAAGCAAAGAGATACAGTTACGCTTAGTGACAAAATATTCTGATGGCTAAAGAACTTTCCATGATGTTAAGCATTAGGGAGTGCTGCCAAAGAAAGAGTATGCAGTTGTGAATTTCATTCAATGAATTAGTTTTTAACCACTGAGTTTTTTCTCCAAATCTGACATCTAAGAGTAGGCTGGAGTGTCTGTTAGGCAGTTTGAAAGTATATTGGTTTTGAGCTGGTTTTGTCCAGCTGTATTTGTATAGCTGAGCTGAAAGTAAGTGTAGACTTTGAAATCCTGCAACTTAAACTTTCCTACCCTTGGCAAAGTGTTTCCAACTGTGTAATTGTTCTTTTTAGGGTCAATATCTTCATGTGATGCGTTCCTGAATGTATTTCAATCCAGAGGTTTAAGACCAGAAGTAATCTGTCCCTGTGCTAGTTCTTCAGAGGCACTAACTGTTGCTATTCGCAGGTAATTCTCTCTTCTCACAAGTGAACTGAAGCATTTCTTGACTATTGAAATGTATCTGGTGTTAAAACGGTAGTCAGAAAAGAGCATTACCCAGATAAAGATGCCCAAAGACTTAGACAGAGGAAGTCTGAGGCTGGAAGGTATCTCTTTAACTGAAAGATGTGTGATTTTTGTTTGTTTTCTTTTAAATTTTAAATATTTAAATATTTATTTTCTGAAAGTAGTCAGCCATGAGTTTTGTTGGGTTTTTTACTGCTTGGGAAAGCAAGTTCTAATCCTAACTGATATTGCTGGAGGACTTTTATAAAATGCCACAAAAGTCAAGACTGTTACTTATTTGTGAGGGAAACTATACTGACTCTTCAAGTAATTGCGTAAATACAATGTCTTGTAAATACAGAGGCTAAAGAAAGAAAAAAATATTCGTAACTGGTCTGAAAAATACCATTGGATTTCTGGACATAGCAAGGGGATGCTCTGAAAAAAGGAAATACTTTGGTTATTGATAGACATAGGGATGGAATATGCTGAAAATTTTTGACAGTGGTTTTGATCAAAATGTGCTTTTTCAGAAAATCAGAAAAACAAAAAAGTTTCAGTTTTTAGAGAGTACGTTCTCTGGTGAGAGAACTGACATTTCCCAATTTAAAAAAACCTGCACTTAGAGAACTGTTTTTCACAACAGCACCTGGAATCTTTTGCTCTGTTCCATTCTGAAAGTTGAACAGTTAAACACAGTGGAGTTGTGTCCTTAATCAGAGGACTGCTGAGAGTAAGAAGTGTCAAGCCCTCCAAACTCTTCCTGATTTTTTTCCTGGTGTTTAGAAAATTTAGCCTTTGAATGCTTATTCTTGACACTTTACCCATAATAAAATTAAATCCTCTCTGTACCATTTTAAAGGGGGAGGAAGCTGTGTGATATTTTTCATCTCTTTTTTTCATCTAGTTAAAATATGTTCCCAGTCTTGAACTCTTGTTCGTTTAAAATGAGAAACCATTATTTCCCTTGACCCTAACAAGCCTGAGAGAATTGCACAGTGGTTTTGAGGACCTTATTGCCATTGATCTGCTGATTCATATCTACTTGACTTTCTGTTTTTCAGACCTCCAGAACTGGGTGGGCCTCCTCCAGGAAAAGCAGTGTTATCAATGAATTGTCTGAGTTTCGGGGTGATAAGAGTGGATACAGAAGAGAAGTTATCAGTGTTAACTGTACAGGACGTTGGTCAGATTATGCCTGGAGGTAGGAAAGCATTTCATGTAGATTTAAGCATACTCCACATAAGTTGTCTTTACTATTGTACTTGTGGTAATGAAATAAATAAAAATGTCAAATAACAAATGCTTTTAAGGTACTGTGACTTATGTTTTGATGCATTACCTAAATACATGGTGATTAAGAACTGTCTCAAATATATTATTCAGTGTTTCCAGTAGAGATTAATCCACGATAAATTTGAATGACTATAGGTTTTGGTATAGGCAGATACTTTTGGCTGGTCTGCAGCGTTGTGTTATTGCTCACTTGTTGGTATTAGTGCTGACTGACATACAGCTATGTAATAACAAATACAGCAGAACAAAACAAAATGTAGAGCATAGTAAGAAATACTGTCTTTCATCCAGGAGTGATAGTCTGTGTGTTGGAATAAAATAAAGTAGAATAGAAGTTGGAAGAGATCTGCAGTGATCCTCACCCTGACCTCTTGAGGGCTGACCAAAAGCTAAAGAATGTTAAGGACAGTGTCTAAATGCCTTTGAAACAGACAGGCTTGGGGCATCAGTCATCTCTCTAGGAAGCCTGTTTCAGTGTTTGACTGCCCTCTTGGTAAAGAAATGTTTCCTAATGTCCAGTCTGAACCTTCCCTGGCACAGCTTTGAACCATTCCCAGGCATCCTGTCATTGGATCCCAGGGAGAAGAGATCAGCACCTCCACCTCCATGTCTCAGGAAGCTGGAGAGCAGCGAGGTCACCCCTCAGCCTCCTGTCCTCCAAATGAGACAAACCCAAAGTCCTCAGCCACTCCTCATAGGACATGCCTTCCATCCCTTTCACCTTTTTTGCTGCCCTCCTCTGGGTGAATTCATGTACCTGGGATCACAGAGACATGGTGGGATACAGTCTTTTTCAGAAGGACAGGAGGAGGAGCTGCCTTTTACATGAGAGAATAGTTGGAATGCATGGAGCTCACCTGAGGATGGATGAGGAGCCAATTGAGAGCTTATAGGTAAGGATTAAAGAGCAGACCAGTAAGGGTGACGTTGTAGTGGGTGTCTGCTATAGATTCCGTGACCAGGAAGAAGTGCATGAGGCCTTCTGCACACAACTAGAAGCAGTCTCATGTTCGTAGCCCTGGTCCTCATGGGGCACTTGATGGGAGCCACCTTGATGTGTGCTGGTGGCACAGCATGACAGGGCATAAGCAATCCAGGAGATTCCTGGAGAGCATCAATGACACATTCTTGATCCAACTGATAGAGGAGCCAGTGAGGAGAGGCTCTTTGCTGGATCTCATAAATGAGGAGACAGTCATTTGGGATGTGAAGGTCAAAGGCTATAGTGACCATGAGATAGTAGAGCTTATGATCCTGAGAGGACGGAGCAGGGCTAAAGCAGGATCACAACGCTGCACTTCAAGAGAGCAGACTTTGGCCTCTTCAGGGATCTGCTTGGTAGAGTCCCATGAGATAAGGCCATGGAGGGGAGGGGGGCCCAATAAAGCTGGTTAATATTCAAGGATCACCTCCTCCAAGATCAAGAGCAGTCCATCCCAAAAAGCTGGAAGTCGGGCAGAAATGCCAGGAGTCCTGCGTGGATAAACTAGGAGCTCCTGGCAGAAGTTATACGTAATAAGGAAGTGTACAGAAGGTGGAAGCAGGGGCAGGTAACCTGAAAGGAACACAGAGACACCATCTGAGCGTGCAAAGATGATGGGGTAAGGAAAACCAAAGCCCAGCTCGAATTGAATCATGGGAGGGATATTATAGACAAGAAGAGCTTCTGTAAGTACATAGGCGACAAAAGGAAGACCAGGGAAAATGTGGGCCTGCTGCTGAATGAGATGGAGGACCCGGTGACACAGGACATAGAAAAGGGTGAGATACTGAATGCCTTGTTCACCTCAGTCTTCACCATCCTGACAGACTTTCAGAAATCCCAGGTCCTGGAGACCTGGGGGAAGCAAGGAAGACATACCCTTGATAGAGGAGATGAAGTTAAAGAGTACATAAGCGAACTGCACATGCACAGATCCATGGGCCCTGATGGGATTTTCACGTGTGAGTGCTGATGGAGCTGTTTGATGTCATTGTGAGGCCACTCTCAACAGTCTTTCAATGGCCATGGTGATTGGGAGAAGTGTCTGAGGACTTGAGGAAAGCAAATGTCACTACTGTCTTCAGGAAGGGCAAGAAGGAGAATCCAGGGAACTACAGGCTGGTCAGCCTCACCTCAGACCCTGGGAGGGTGATGGAACAGCTAATTCTGGAAACACTTTTGTCTGGCACATGGAAGACAACCAAGCGATCAGGCCCAGTCAGCA